GAATATCAACACATTTTTATCGAAGCTCACTGAGTTTTCCACAAATTATGACTTCAGAGAATATTTCAACAAAAAAAGTCTATTTCAGTAAACAAACTTATCCATTCTAACGATTTCACCCAAGTCCATCAAGATGAATTTTAGCAAGTGCAGGTTATCTTTGGGTGCTGCTTCATTTGCTCTACAGTTACTGAGGTTTAATAAAAGCTTTGGGTAAAAAGCAAAACCTCCAGCTGGCTGTTCAAATCCACAAGGAAGCAGACACTCTCTGTGCTGCTGCTGAAAGCCAGAAGAGTACAACTACAGGAAGCCCTCCCTGCTTCCAACACATGGCTACTTGCATTCCTAAGCTGCTCTTTTCATAGCTCCAGACATCACATTCCATCTGGTTGAGTCAGGCTGTGTGAGACCTCCTGATCTCATGTAAATCTTGTATGACCAGACACAGCTCTGCAACTTACTCAGATTTCAAAATAACATATACTATGGGTATTTGCCATGTGCAGATAATCTGTGAACAGGTCCAAGACACTTTCCTAGGATTAAGGAGTTAATGAGAATGCCAATGCCACCACATCCCAGCTGAAAGCTCTAATGCTATACAATAGTTGACAGTTAACATTTATTACACATGGACATTCACACTCTAGGTGGGTAAAATAATCATTGGAGCCAAGGAATTTATCATCATGTACCTCAGTCATTCACCATCTGAAACTTTATACAGTATTTAGACTCCTTGAACACATTCAAATCAAGACAGAAAAACAGCTGTTGAATAATTGCCCTAAACAAACTGCTTAAGTACAGCATTTGGGCACCCTGCAAGTGTGCACCTGCCTAAAATTATGGCCAGAAGAGCTAAAATTCAGCTCTGGATCAGCAAATTGGCTTTTAGTACATAAATACAGCAGAATTTAAGATTATGCTGTATCAAACCCTGTCATGTTAGGCTTCATGTGTGAGAAGGAGTAAACTGCCTGGGAGACACAACATATCATTTACATTCTAGCCTGGTGGAGACAGTGCTTCTTAGCCAGCTCCAACATGCACACACAGGGAAATGAAAGGGGGAAGTATGTGTGCACACTTGTGAGTGTGCCAGTTTGTTTACAGAGAAACATCTACCCAGACAAGAAGAAAAAAACAGCAAGCATAGCTGTCCCAGAACGGGGGACAGCACTAAGAATTATTTGAGTATTTGTCCATGGTTTCACTACTGAGGAGTTTTTGTGTCCCTCATCAAATCATCTAGGGAGCTACAGGCCCACCAACTTCACCTTAGTTCCTGGGAAGTTGGTACAGAACTTAATCCTAGGCACATTAAGGATAAGAAAATCATCATGAGTAGCCAACCAAGAAAAAGTCATGCCTGAACAACTTGTCAGACTTCTGAGATGAAATAGATCTACCTGACCTGGTAGATGAGGGAAGAACAGTGGTAGAAAATATCTGGGACTCCAGTAAGGCCTTTGACACTGCCTCCCACAAGATCTTCACAGAGGAACTGCTGCTACAGGGAATGGATGAGCAGTGAGATGGACTGAAAGCTGGCCAGGCTCAGAGGCTGGATGTCAGTGAGACAAATCCTAGCTGGATGCCAGAGACAAGGAGTGGGGCACAGGGGTCAGTACTGCATCCTGATTAAGATATTCATTAATGACCTGGATGATGGGGTGGACTTTACATTCAGCAAGTTTGTGGGTGACACATCTGGAGCACTCAGGGGGCATTTTATCAATGGGAAGGGAAGGTCCAAAGACAACAGAGCCAGGCTTCTTTTCACTGATGGCTAGTGACAGAACCAGAGGTAATGTGCACTAGTTGAAACACAGGAACATTAGGAAACATTTTTTCGCTTGTGACAGCGACCGGGCACTGGCAAAGGTTGCCTGGGGAGTATGCAGAATCCCCTCCTTAGAGATATTCAAAACCTGTCTGACACACTCCTGGGCAATTGGCTCTAGGTGTCCTCACCTGAGCAGCACATGAACCATGTGACCTCTAGAGGTCCCTTCCAGCTTCACCAATTCTGTGTCTGGGAAACAAACAACAAAACCTCCTAAAACAAAACAAAACAGGAAAATCACAGTTAAAACAAAAAAAAAGAAGAACAATACTTAGACGTCATTTCCAATCTCTGGAAACAGCACCTACCCACTCTACAAGAACATCAACACATTTTCATTCTATATTTACATGTGTGGGTGGCATAATTTACACAAACACACACATATGCACACACACAGAGAGCTGCAGAACTGAAAAAAAAAAAATTCCTCAGCAACAGGCTGACATATTTTATCAAAATTCTCCCAGACAGAAATGTGCACAGATCACTCACTTTCAGGGGTTGTCTGCACCTGTAAAGTGGCTTTCTGCATATGCTCACCATTATTATTTTTTATATCTTTTCATAGATAAGACAATCCTATGCTGAATCCTAAAATTATTGAAAAGAGAGGGATGAATATGCACTCACAATTAACTGGATTTAATAAATTCCTAATTTCTCCTACATACTTTATATTCTCTTTTTAAAGTCACACCTTTTAGCTTGATTAACCACAAACACTCAACTATAACGTTTAAGTAAAAATAACCAACAATATGTTATTAGAAATATTACATTCCATTCCCTTATATCCCAGTATCTCTAACTTCATGCACAGTGCAATCCCATCAGCCTAAGCCCACAGGCTTGAGCTGCATCTGGCCCAAGAGCAGCCATGCAGCTAGCCCTCAGTATTTTCCATGGATTTCAAAAGCACTTCTGTGCAAGAACACAACCTACACAGAGCACAACCTGTATTTTGGACACCTTCAATTCGGCAACATTCACAATCTAGGTGGGTAAAATAATCATTGGAGCCAAGGAATTTATCATCATGTACCTCAGTCATTCACCATCTGAAACTTAGTACAGTATTTAAACTCCTTGTGCTGACAAAACCTCGACACAACCAGAGTATGCAATCAGTATGTACATTTCAGTAATATTGCACCTTGCTACAGCACATTTGGATCTCCAAGGGGTTTAAGGTGCCCGGAAATTCAAGAAAATGTATGAAGGCACTAAATCCACACTCCTGAGTTCTACTCCTTTTTTGGGTTGCCATTTAGTGATTTCTATGTTGAATATACTCACTTCACTGGTAACTGGATTTTGCTATTTTTTAATTATTACTTTGTCTGTTTTTTCATGTCTTGCTGGATCACTGATTGCCATCAGCAGAATATTCTTCCAGCCAAATTATGTCTCCAGCTATACCTGAGTGAATCTGCTCAATTTAGCTCAGCAACAGGAACTCAATTAAAAATTCTGTTAAGAAGGTGCTTGCCAGAAAATATTCATCACAGCAGAGTGGCATTCACTTTGCAGCACTGATAGGAACATGAACTAATAAAACCTTTTTTTTTTTCATGCTAAAATGAATTGCCTGGACTCTCACTAGACAGTAGGAGCAATTGACGTAAGATGAGAATCATATCAGTGGGCAGATCTGTTCTCCAAGATTTACTCTATTCAGACAATCACTTTCCCAATTAAAAACCACATCAAATAAAGGGAATCTCCATTACTACATCAGAATATAGAATTTAAATCAACTTACCCTGCCAGAGACAAACTGTATGTAAATGCACTCAAAGTTATTCAGAAAACTCAGACAGCATAAAAGTTTTCATTGTGTTCTTTCCAAACAGAGCCATTTCATTTATTTTGACCTTTAATCCATTTCTTGAATAATTTCTACTATTTGTGTGATTACACACAGTGCAGCTAAATGCTTTTTTTCTGCACAGAGCTAAAATTACCCTTTTTTAGGCTGTTTTATCACCCTAAATTTCAATTACATGGACACACTGATTTTGTAGCACTAAAACAATGGTGAGAGTTTTATTCCTATTTATAGTCTGGTTTTCTACCAGGGATATGTGCAGTGGTTCTACAAGCGCAAACTAAGAAAAGAAGAAATATGCCATCAAGAACCCTTTAACTTTCCTAGACTGTGCTGGCCTGTAATGGAAAAGCTTCATAGGTCAAAACAATTGGAATAAATGGAAAAAACTTCTCGATGTCTGAAAAACTTGGCTGAAAATGCTAAATTAAAAGACCCCTGAATTTAAGACTTTGCTTTCTGCATGTGCTCACCATTATTATTTTTTATTTTTTCATAGATAAGACAATCCCATGCTGAATGCTAAAATTCTTGAAAAGAGAGGGATGAATATGCACTCACAATTAAGTGGATTTAATAAATTCCTAATTTTATCTTACATACTTTCTATTCTCTTTTTAAAATCACACCTTTTAGCTTGATTAACCACAAACACTCAACTATAATTTTAAGGTAAAATAACAAAAAATATGTCATTAAAAATATTACATTCCATTCTATGTTCTGTAGTTACAATTTGAATGCCTTTAAGACATCATGTTTCCAGTTATCAAAGAAATTATTTCCGTGATCAGGTAAAATAACACAAGCAGAATTTTAATCAAACATGCAACCTGCAATACAAGGCAAATTGAGAAGACAAATGCATTAGTTTTACTAACTGCAACAAGGAATCCAACTGTAATGCTCAAAATTTGCAAATCAAGATACTCTGTCACCAAATCACTTGCCAGCTAATGATAAATCCTCCTTTCTTCCACAGTACTCCTCTTTATGTTGTAATGTCTCGTGGTCACTATCATTATCAGTGCTATTTTATAGCTTTTATGAAAAATAAGGCCTAAAGGGAAAAGTTTGATGATGTTTCTTTCTTTATTCATCTTGATTTTTAATCTAGATTCCGAAGGGAAGTTTCAAGTTTCTGATTCAAACTGTGTTAGGGTTAATGGAAAATCTCCCTTTACTCTTGCAAGAGTATGCCACAGGCTTCAAATTGCTGTTTCTCTTTACTGATCTTGCTATTTCAATTTTGCCCTCAGCAGTTTGTCTATGCCATCCTTAAGTGCCAGAAGAATCAATTTTATTTTATTAAACACTCACCTCAAACCACTGGCCGTGCGACTGCATTTTAAGGATGACACAAGGATCTGGTTTTGAGAGGGCATCCCTGTCTGATATGCCTTTGCATGCAACTCGCAACTCCACTTTAGTCAGGCATGGGCTGTTAAAAATTCCCAGGGTGTTGGCTGCTGATTCATAGATGTTGCTCATTTTCTTCATTCCTTGTTCTGAAAGAGAGAAAAGGTCTGTTAAGGACGGTCCACACAAGGTACAGCCCCTCCTTCCACACAGTAACAGTGAATGAGAACCAGAGGGCAAAGAATAAAATCAAAGGAATACCTATAGAAAAAAGAAATATTCATCTCATATGTTCATAAGTAAGCCAAGTTCAGAATGATATTTCCCACCATGCGTCTGAACTCTGGGGGCGAACTGGGACCTTGACTTCCAGCTCTGCTCCTGCTTATAGAGCCACATCTCCCTAGGTCACAGGTTAGATAGACAGGATGGTAATTCTGTGTTTCTTATGATAACATGTTGGCAAGGGTAAATTAAATTTGCTCAGTACTCCTGAAATCTACTTTTATTTCCCTCTATTCCTTCTAAAGAGTATGCACTTCTTCTTACATACACTTTTGGCATAAATGGCATAGAAGGCCCCTTTCGTACCAACCTTAAATTCCAACACACATTTCACTGTTTCCACACTTACTGCAGCAGATTACCTGCCTCCATTCCTAAGCAAGTAGCCAAGATTGATGCTCTGTACAGAAGGGCAGGATATTTATGCTTCCACATCTCATTGTCGTAGAGTGTTTGGTCTTCTGGGTCAGGAATCAGAGTTACATGAGCACAGATAGCTGGAACAACAGGGACCTCCAACCCTTACTTCATTATGAACACCACCACCAATCTTGTAGCTCAAGAATTTCTCTCAACAGAAGCAACAAAAATATTTTAACACAGAGCTTAACAAAAATCCCTATATGACCATTTCTGTATCAATCAAGAATGTGGGAACACTCTAATTGGCATATTTGCTCTGAGCTTCACAGCCTCACCCTTTAAAAATTTGCTTCCTGATACATCGATTAGTGCCTTCATCACTTTACCCCATACATAACAGCCACAAAAAAGGAATTTCATACTTCTAGCAGGTAGATTTGTCATTTTATCAACAAGGCATTTTAGCTGTCTGTTTCAAACCTTTTCATTATTCCACAACACCCTTTTCTCAGAGGTTAATGATTTTTGAGAATTGTTTCGATAAAAATTACATTTCAGAGGTATGGAAATGAAAGCGAAGGCTTTTTCCCCCAAATCTGCTAAGTTAAAAATAAACTTAAAAACTGCAAAATCATGCCTATCCAGTTTTCCTGCGAATTAGAAAGGTAAAATTAGAAAGGTATTTCAAATTCCTAGTAAGGGGAGTTGGCAATAGAGTTTCATTCACAGAAATGTATGTCTGAGTGATGAGGCAGATTACCTGCTCCCTTGGCAGAAGGGATAAAAGCTTGTTAACAACCTACAATTCTTCAAATCTGTACAACAACTTACTGTATGAGCATTCATCTGCTGTGACTACCCCACTCAGATACAAGTGAAGGGAGCCTGAGTGGACCCCACCACTCTCTGAACCTCAGGCTCCTCAGGCATATTTGAAATGTGAGCCACACCACAAACATAGTGCCCGACATCTTAAGATCAACACAGTCACCTTCAGCCCTTCCCAGTTACTTGTAAATATTGTCACCTAAACTACTGTTCCTTGGACTTACTGCTAGGAAAGAAACAGGACTGAGAAAATGGGCAAAACTGAACAACACATGGAAAAGGTAGTGATATTGGGCTACGTTGTAAAGCCAGGGACTGGAGAGACTGTTGTCTAATTATTCATCATTTTGTAATCCCATCTCCTTCAGAAAGCTGCTCAACAAGCTCATCCCACACATTTACAAGACGTTTTTACATGTTGCCCTTTCCAAATTGAAATCCATTTGAAAATTGGGTTAATTCTGTCTCATACACATCATACATCATTAATAAAATGTCATCCTTTGTGCAGAAATAGGCTGGTGATTTAATTAAACTGCATGATTTCAGCACTGAAGAGAAGAGCAAAAAGTAGCAGAGTGAGGGGGAGAGATGTATTTTTCTTCCTCCTACAATAATTATACATTGGTTTTTCAGAACAGCAGGTAAGTATAAAAATTATATTTCTTTTTATCACTACAACTATTATTTCAGCTTTTGCAAGTTCTAAATTTATCAATGGAAATTATCAAGCTACAGCCTTATTCTTTTGTCTCATTATATTCTTCTTGTAATATAATCACCAGCTTGGGTTGTTGTGCTGATGTCACATCACCAGGAAGCTGGAGACCTGGAAAATAGATTTTGAGCCCACTGAAAGTGGCTAAAAATGGTATTGTTTTCCACAAACATAGAGAAGTTGGATTGCATAAGACATTTTTTTGTCAATTACCTATGCACATTATTGATGGAGGAAAAAAATTATTCATTTTTCTTTGCTACAAACTCTTCCTTTTTCAGTTCATTAGAACCTTGTTATTCCTTCAAGGTCCACACAGTTTTGATATTCACTGAACAAGAGCTGTGCCCAGGAGAGGAAAGCAATAGCACAGATACAAAAAGTAAGTGATAGGTCACATTTGTAAAGCTTTCATTTCATCATTGCATACATTCTCTCTCATTTCCTCAGGAAAAGAGGAAAGTGGATTATGTGCTTCCCACTCAAATTTATTAGTCAGTGCTAGACTGAACAAGAATGGGGAAGCAAAAACTGGCATTCTGTCTTCACCTCTCCATGGTAAAACATCAAGGAAACAGTACCAAGTGGAAAAAAAAAATTAAAACAGCACTATGCTGAAATTGAAACGTACTAGGCTACAAAAAAACCCCAAAAAACAAACAAACAAACAAAAAAAAAAAACCAAACCCACCAAAGGAAAACAAAAACCAAAAACACCCAAACCAAACCAAACAAAAAAAAAACCCACCAAAGAATGTGTCAGTTACAAAGAAAAAGTGAGAACCTTGAAGACAAGTCTCTGCCTTCAATCACTCAAACATATTCTATATCTAGCATACTTAGAGCTAATTTGCTGGAAATTAACGTGCTCTTTTGACCTTTATAAAGGGATTCAAAGTGATCTTACTGATATATATGATGAGATGGGGAAACACGAAGCCAAATGCTTGTCAGTAGTGCCCACTGACAGGACAAGAGGCAACTGGCACAGACTGAAATTCAGGAAATTCTGATTAAAGAAAAGGAAATTTTTTACTATAAGTTTGGTTCAACACTGGAACATGCTTCTCAGAGAACTTGTAGAGTCTTCATGTTTAGAGATATCCAAAACTTGTCTGGACACAGCTCACTTGCAGCACAGGCTTAGAATAGATGATCTGCAGAGGTCCTTTCCAACCTCTTCTACTCTGTGACTAAGCAGCAAAAAAATCAAATTAAAAACTTTTTAGGGTACAGATTGTCTCTGTGATATGTTGCTGAAGTAATTGATTATTTGAAGCCCTTGGCTCCAAAGCCATGCAGAAAATCAAAATATATACATAAGCCCAGCATTTCTGATACAAAGTAGGGCTACAAAGTCTCCCATGTGTAGGTATTTCATTAAAAGCACACAAGTTCAGAAAGTTGTGCCTGCCTAGATAACAGGATTGTGATGAAAATCAGTATTACACATTTGACAGCTACATCTTTCTCTATTCAGGGGGACTAAATGGCATAAAAATGTTCAGTTGTCTAGTGCATGCAGAAGTAAGGATCTTTGTGACACAGCCAGTACATGCTTCTCTCCAGGAGCTAAAAGACTTGAATTCAGCTCACCCAACCAGATCCAACCTCATTGTAAAATGGTGATCCACATAACCTCACTACCAACTCAGAACCAGGTTCCTTAGATTCACCATGAAACAAACCTAAGATGCTATCTGAATTCTGTTTTCAAGTTTACTCCTTTGCCCACAGTGTCGTTTTGCCCTCCTACACACAGACCATGTCCAAAAAGCTTTTCTGCAAGTTGTCTGTGTGAAAAATGAAGAGATTGCTCTCTACAGCCCCTTGTGAAGAATCAAGGGAACATTTACACTCAGCCTCACCTTCAGTTCAGGTAATAAGTGAGCAGCAAATGAGAAAGATGCTGAGATTAAAAGCAGTCACCAATTTGCTTTGCATTTAGAGAAAGGTCATGTTATTTAGAAACCTGTACTCCAGACCAAACTACACACAAATGAATTTGAGGGCTGCAGGCTTCCCATCACCATATGTTGAGAGCTGTGTCTGAATTATTTTACTGCCACTTTGGTCATGAAATGAAAATGAGCTAATAGCATCTGTCTGCTTCTACAGAAGTAAACAGCAAGAGTCTGCTCCTGGAAAGGTAAATTATGTTTGCAGTATGTGCACATGATGGGAAATACTAATAGTGGATTTACCTGAAGTAAGAGCTGTGAATAAGTACCTCCAAAAGAGAGCAGCCCTAAAAGCACTGGTTGTTGTGGCACTAGCTGCTCCCTACATATTTACACTTATAAATTATAAATGGGAGAGACATTTAGTATTCAAAACACATGAACAGCTTAACTCTCTAGACAGATAGCTTTGTACCTACAGTTTCTGGATCTTCCAGGGTTTAAAGTCCAATAAAAGCAAGTATGAAAACCAAGTCTACAGTTCGAAGCTTAAAATTAATAAAACTCAGATCAAGTTAAACAAAATACAGTAAGAGCAAGATTTATAGAAAAGGCTGAAATTAGGCTGGGTGTTCAGGTAGAAGAGTTTTTAAAAGTTCCTCTGTTTAGTAACTTGTTCAGCTCCAGCAGAATGTAGGCCATGCACCCTTTCAGGGAACTATGGTAATTGAGATAAGTAATTATTTTTTCTTTAAGAAATTTTATGTAATTGGGAATTCCCAGTCTCTAATAATTACTGTACCAGCTGTTGGCACCAAGGCTTCCTTGGCTGTGAAAAGCAAATCCATTCCTTCACATTCAGCTGTAAATAGCTTTTGTACAAATGAGGAAAGGTGGGAATTCACCAGGAGTTCCTGATTCAGCATGTTCATTAAATTAATGTTCCATGTGCTTAATCAGGAGCTCACTAAGACACCTGGCTTGCCCAGGTCTGAACAGAGACCCCAGCATGACAGGGAAAGCAGACCTATCTTTATTATGATATGCATTAAGG